CGAAGGAAGGTATATGTGGGTGGGTATTTGTATAGACGATAATATGGACTATCAAACTGTAAGACAGATGAGGGGAGGCAGTTTATGAGATAAGTGGATGTTTCAAAGGCATAATCCCAGTGTTTTAGAGGTACTGAGCTTTCAGCAAGAAGAGCTAAGCAGGTTTAAACAACGTGTCTATTCCAGCGCTCAACCCGCCCGTTTTGCTCGTGCGTATAGGCGCATGATTGCCCGTGCAAGATTCCAAGAGATTCAAAAGTGTTATGCAAACGGTGGTATTCACCCCCTAAATTTGACTGTATGGACTTGATAGAACGCGAAAACTGGCATTCTACTATCACACGAAACAACTCAAAAATTTTATAGATATCCGATTTTAACCATAAGGGATAAAACCGGCAAAAACGGGAGTAATCGTCTACAAATAAAACAAAATTGCGAAAACAAGTCGCAGAAATAACGGGGGCAGGGCCCCAAATGTCCGTGAACCATAAATCCAAAACATTTCTACTAGAAGAAGCTACTCTATCTAGGGGAAAACGGGTGGATTTGCAAAGTTGACAGGCCGTACAAAAACCCGACGAACCGGACTTATTCGGAGTAACTGGACAACTTTGCAGAACACGCTGGAGGACATGACCATGCGGGTGACCAAATCTTCGATGCCACACCACGGACGAAGCTCGAGCAGTTAGAAACGCAAAATGAGACCGGGGAACTGACAACCTGTATAAGCCACCCAAGGTAGGACCTTTAAGAAGAACCGTCATAGTGGTGCAGTCTTTCACAATAAATTTTTTTTTATGAAACTCAAAAAATACATCATTTTCATTAGTAAAATGATGAACAGACAAAAGAGGTACAGATAAATTTGGCACATGTAATAAATTGGACAAACGAAGAGATTTAGACACGGAAGAGATAGTTGCATGACTAACACGGGAAATACCCAAACTTGTGCCATTGCCGACCTGAAGCACATCCCCGCCAGTGTACTCATCCGATTGTGCCATCATCGTAGGGTCTGTTGTCGCATGTGAGGATGCCCTGGTAACCAGATACGAAGCGTCCACCGCCGTTGCCGCACTATCGTCGCTGTAGACCGCCATGTTAGCCTGAGCCAGTGGGTGGTCGGTGTACCACATGAAACAGTACACGGCAGTGTGCCCATGGGATCAACAGATCTGGCACCGGGGAGTACCTCCGCAACCACGCCCTTGTCCGCCACGACCACGCCCTTGGCGACCGCGACCCTGTCCGCTGTTCGAGCCTTGCCGGTTGTCGTACCCACCGTCTCCACTCTACCGACGACCACGACCAGTGAACATCGCCGTGGGAGAACCGCCAGCGACCACATCATTGCTCGATGGGAATTCATCGGAATAGATGAATTCTTGAGCCTGTAATAAATTCGAAAGTTGTGGGAGACTGATGGGTGTACCTGAGATGGTGAGGGACACCGCCATGGCTCGAAATTCCAGCCGAAGCCCTTGGAACACGTACAAATTCTGCTCATCGAGAGACATGGGGCGGCAGGCCAAAGCGAGGTCCTCGACGATCAGTTGCGCCCGACTAAGGTATTCTGCCAGAGAGTTGTTACCTTGGCGGAGTGGTGGAAGCTGTCGCGCCCTAGGCAGTGTCGCCGGAGGCAGGGACGGTGGTGACGGTTGCCGAATGACACGGCAGGTCACCATCAACGTACCCAAGGTAACCTTGATCGCGGAGGAACGGAATCAGCTGGGTGCACCAAAATGGGTAATTCCGTGATGTGAGTTTGATTGACAAAAAGTGGTGGGCTGAGTAAAGGGAATTTGGGGTGGTGGATGGAGCAGGTAAGGCGGTGGCGATCACCGTATGCTCGTAGGAGTTGGTCGACATCGAAGTGAGGAGAGAAAAATTAGGGAAACCTAACGCTAACTGATAGCAGATGAGAGAGACAAATCAAATTGTATCCATTATCTGATAGATTACAATAATACAATACTATAGGAATTAGGAAACGTAACTTACTCCTATACAATAGGTTAGCTAAAGTCAATTAATCTACCACCACATATTTGCTAACCACATATAATACAAATATTACTAACATCGATAACTTATTAACATTTTTCAAGAATTTCTCCCATCTATAAAAGTTTATGGTAATTTTTGAAGTTAACCAGATTATAGCCATTTTCCAAGGATATTGATATCTGGTTGTTCCACATCCCAGTATTATGATTATTTGGTGCACCTATAATTTTACTGGGGTTTTCTCGTCTTTTGAAAGATCTTCTTAAAGACATAACTTTTAAAATTTTTCAAGAGCTCTAAATTTTTCAAGAGTGACAAAATTCTTTACTAGATCTAGTTGTTGTGAATTATTATCTTTTATACTGATATGTCTCCCACACTTCTGGTGCCAATGAGATCAATCGATATATAAGGTACAATTTGGGGAATGTGTATGGGACCTAGTCATTCTTTTATGAAATAGATTTATTTGGCAGATTATTATTGATCTCCTTCTGAACTTCCAGTTCAGTCTAATTGGTACGTGGATTTAAGTTTTGCAGATCATTTCATTCCAAATGGCGTATCCATTTCATTTCAATACTTAAAGCCCCTAAATGGATCTCGTCATTCCATTTCAATTTTGATCATATCTCCCCCTAATGCCGTGAACCGATCTTCATGCAATCGGCGTATCCATCGCTTCTCTCTTAGGGGCTTTAAGTATTTGAGACAACATATGGAGGTTTAAATGGATACACTATGGTGGTTATATAATAGAATGGACTGCATTCATAAGAATAGAAACGCAGATTGGGAAATGTTTGATTTGAAACCACGTGTTTGATGTAAGGGGGGGAATAAGGATATGTAGTGTGCCGGATTTTTAGAATTAAAGTAGCAGCATGAATACTGCATTTCCCCAACAAATATCCGACAAATTGGATTTTTGAAAAATAATGGTCTAGCAATAAGTCCTAACTCGATTAATTAGCTAAACCATTTGGGTATGGACATAAGGTACTTGATGCCCCGCCTTAATGCTCAATGACATATAGTAATCGTCAAAAATCGGACGAAGTTAATAGGATAATCCAGGAATTGGGCATTATCCATAAGGTACTAGATGATATCCGTCTTTTTAGATCGTGAAGAACGAGTAACATATGTCTACTCATCGAATGAAGGATATTTGATCAAAGTATGGTATGATAAGATATTTTAATCTAGAGTGAGTTCCATTTTTGGTCCTACTGTTATAGGGGCGTTTCCAATTTTAGTCCACCTTAATTTTTTTTGCCACCCATAACCACTATTATTGAATGCGTTCCACTTTTAGTCCCACCATTAGTATTTCCATCAAGATACCGTGTAATCTAGGGGTATTTTGACCTTTCTTCTCATCCAAGACTATGTTTGACTAAAGAAATGAGAACATTAAACCTAAAACCTAAGAAACCTCGCCGGCCCATGTTGGAACGAACGAAACGATGTAGCTTTGGCTTCCCATTCTCGTTGTTCGAAGAGCCATCTTCGAATATCGGAGGAGGAGGATGAAGCGCCTTGATTAAAAGAGAAGAGACAAACATAAAAAGACCAAAATACCCTTTGATTATACAGCCTCTTGACGGAAATATTAACGGTGGACTAAAAGTGGAACACATTCAATAACAGTGGTTGTAAAGTGGCAAAAAAAATTAAAGTGGACTGAAATTGGAAATGCCCCTATAACAGTAGGACCAAAAATGGAATTCACTCTTTAATCTATGAACATTTATGGTTTTCTCATGAAAACCAATTGACTTAATGTCTTTTAAATTAGTGGAGTAAAAGTGAAGATCTATCGGAGCCCACAAAGAAAAACCTTATCAATAATGGTAGGAAGTTGTTAGAGGTTTGTATATACAGATCATTCAAAAGGGAACATATTATGTTATCATCCATTCGAAACTGATATGCATATTGGCTGCTAAGCAATGCAAAATTTTGAAGAAAAAAAATGTATATTTCGAAAAAAAATTCGATTCTTTTATATATAAAAGCTTGAAAATATACTCATACAGAAGGCTTACGATTCTATATGATTTGAAATATGCAGTAGAAATAACAGTATATAAAAAAATCTTTCTGTGTATTTTGAAATATGCAACAAAATTTTTTTATTGTTTCAAAATATGGACAAATTTTGTTCATCTTTTTATTTTTATTTTTATTTATTTATTTATTTATTTATGAAAGATATACATATGCAGAGTAAAAATAAAATACACACACACACACACACATACACACACACACAGAATATTCTGTATGCATACATGAGAAAAAAAAAAACACAGCAAATATATGCTACTGATGCAAATATGTATAATACCAGAAAACATATAATCATATTATCAAAATTCACAGATTCATGAATGCATAATACATAAACATATGCGATTTTAGGCATAATAAAAACTTATAAAATTATCGTTCACCAAGATGTATTGAGCGTGCTGATAACGTGTTGTAAGTGTTGTAAATGTATGGCCGTTGGCCATTAGCTCCTAACCGATGAACCGATCGATGACCTTTGCAGGAATGAAGATATTGTAAAGAGAAAAGAGAGAATGATAAACAATAGTGTAGAGGATAATCTAAGATTTCCATAACCATAAAACAATACAACATATGTAAGTATATATACAATACAAATATAACGGATACAATAATGGCATGCTTAATTACCGGATCGTTACGTCCGTTACAATAGAAATAATGTCCACATTAATATATTTATAACAACAACAAGTATTACCGAGTAATAGATTAGTTGATTGTGAAATTGTGATAAGCGTAATTAGATTAAGAGGTTAGGTGTTTAATTCTTCTTATGAGTCTGTTATCTTGGAATTGTCGTGGGCTTGGCAACCAGACGGCAATTCGAGTTCTGGCGGATTTAGTCCGCACGAAGAGGCCGAGTATTGTTTTTTGTGATGGAAACTTTCGTTAATAAGCAGAAGATGGAACCGATTAGGGTTCAGCTGGGTTATGGGAATATGCTGGTTGTGGATTCACACAGGCACAGGGGAGGGTTGGCTTTGTTATGGAATGATCATGTTGAGGTGGAGGTAACGGGGTATTCACAAAACCATATTTATGCAACTGTTAGGTTGGATGTTGGCGGGCCAGTGTGGAGGTTTACGGGTTTCTATGGCTATGCTGACTGTCAAATGAGGCGGGAGTCATGGGGTATGCTCCGGAGTTTAGCTGGTTTGAGTAATTTACCGTGGCTTCTGATGGGGGACTTTAATGATATATTACATCAATCTGAGAAGAGAGGAAGGAACCCGCATCCTGAGTGGCTCTTGCGAGGGTTTCGAACGGCAGTAACGGATTGTGGTTTACAGGATTTCCCGTTTGCAGGTAATCAGTTTGCTTGGGTTCGGTCCCCGGGCACGTTGGATATGGTAGAGGAGAAGCTAGATCGTATACTCACTACTGACACCTGGTTAATGTTATATGAAGGTGCGGCGGCTCAGTCACTTGCAGTACCTTATAGTGATCACTTGCCTATATTGATTACCCCCTTGGTAGTGAACCGGGTTCGTAGACGGAGGCGGTTTTGTTTTGACAATATGTGGCTGCGGGAGGAGTCTTGTAAGGAGATTGTGCAACAGAGTTGGGAAAGGACCAATGGATTTGATTTGCTGGAACGTATCCGTGTGTGTAGCCGTGACATCTGGGACTGGGGACGAAATTATAATAGAGATTTTCTAAGGAAAATTGAGACGTGTAAGGCGAAGCTCGAGAACCTGCAGGCAAGGTTGAATGGTGTTGATTATGTTGAGTATGCTCGGGTGGAGAAGGAGTTGCTCATCTTGTTGGAGCAGCAACACTTATATTGGAAACAAAGGGCGAAAGAACACTGGTGGAGAGGGGGTGATTTGAACACGAAATTCTTCCATAACAGTGTTAAAGCAAGGCGGAGACGAAATATAATAAGGAAGTTGAAGAACGAGGACGGTTAATGGGTTGAGAATGAGGAGAAGGTTGGCCGGATTATGGTCAATTATTTCAAAGATTTGTTCACGGCGGAGGAGGGTAGTATCGATGAGGTTATTTCATGTATACGTAGTCACATTACCCATGTGCAGAATGCAAAGCTGTTACGTCCAGTAACTGCAGAAGAGGTGCGAGTAGCAGTGTTTGAGATGCATCCGGATAAGTCGCCTGGACCAGATGGTTTTGGACCGGGGTTTTATCAGTATTTCTGGGAAGTAGTTGGGGGAGATTTCACACAGTTTTGCCGTCAGTTCATTGATTCAGGGTAGTTGCCGGCAAGGGCGAATGATACTTTGATTGTGTTGATACCGAAGAAGGGGAACCAGGAAACAATGAAGGATCTACGGCCTATTGCCCTCTGTAACATGTTGTATAAGATAGCTTCTAAGATGTGTGCAAATCGTATGAAGTCTTTGCTAGATGGTGTTATCTGTGGGGCTCAGAGTGCTTTTGTTCCGGGCCGTTTAGTCTCGGATAATGTCATGCTAGCTTATGAAGCCCACCACTATTTAAAACGGAAGACTCAAGGGAAATCTGGTGTTGCAGCCCTGAAGGTGGATACGAGTAAGGCCTATGATCGAGTAGAGTGGAGGTTTTTGAGAGCTGTTATGCTTAGGATGGGCTTCGATGAGAAATGGATTAATATACTAATGGAGACAGTTAGCTCGGTGCAGTATCATATATTATATGAGCAGCGGAAGCTGGGCCCTATTGTGCCAGGTAGGGGCTTACGGCAGGGTGATCCATTATCACCGTACTTGTTCCAGTTGATTGTGGAGGGGCTCAGTGCGCTAATAGAGAGAAAGATGGAGAATGGTGACTTGCACGGCATTACAGTAGCAATGGGAGGGGCGCCCCCAATATCTCATCTCCTTTTTGCTGACGATTATTTTCTTTTCTTACGTGTAAATAGGGAAGAAAGCGAGCAGATGAAGGGTGTCCTAGATGTGTATACTACGGCTTCGGGTCAAAAGATAAATTTTGACAAAAGTATGGTGTGTTTCAGTACGAATGTACCTCAGCAGTGCCGGAATGATGTTGTTCATGTTTTAGGGGTTAACCAAGGGGAAACACATGGGAAATATTTGGGACTGCCCTCGCTGGTGGGTCAGAATAAAAAGGCGATCTTTGGTTTTTTGAAAGATAAGATCCTGAACCAAGTTCGCAGCTGGAACTCAAAGTCATTGTCACGGGCAGGTCGCGAGGTCTTGTTAAAGAATGTGTTACAAGCTCTGCCATGTTACGCGATGATGGTTTTTTTACTACCGGTAGGACTGTCCAGGGAGATTGAGAATGCCTTAAATGAGTATTGGTGGACTGGAGCAATTGGTAGTGGGAAACGTTGGCGGTGGCAGTCATGGAACGAGCTGTGTGTCCCGAAGTGTAAGGGTGGATTGGGTTTCCGACGATTAAGGGAGATGAACTTGGCCCTGTTGGGGAAACAAGCATGGCGTCTGATTACAAGGCCGAATTCTCTTTTAGCCCGTGTTTATAAAAGTAGGTATTTCCCTAATTGCTCCTTTCTTGAAGCTACTGCTTGTAGTAATGCTTCTTTTGTATGGCAAGGACTGCTGGAGGCGTAGAAGGCGATAAAGAGGGGTTGTAGGCGCCGGATTGGAGATGGCATGACCACATCTATCGGAAATGATCCATGGTTACCGAAGGATGATGAACCGTTTATTACCACATCATTACCTGAAACCATTAAAGACTCCATTGTATCTGCACTTTTGAATATGCAGGGAACAGGATGGGATGGGGACTGTATCCGGGATATTTTTAATGCTCAAGATGCATGGTATATTCTGAATATCCCTATAAGTATGCGTAAGCCTCCAGACTCTTGGTTCTGGCACTGGGATTCAAAGGGTAATTACACTGTGAAATCTTGTTACAGAATGCTGGTAGGGGAGGCCCATGATGATCGACCGTGGAAGCAAATTTGGGGGTTACAGGTGCCGCCGAAGGTGAAGCTGTTCTGTTGGCAGTTGGCTTCTATACTTTTGCCCACTGATGCTTTGAGTAGGAGAAGGGTTGCATGTCATATACCTTGTCACATGTGCACCCAAGTAGAGGAGACGACTTTGCATTTGTTTGTGGAGTGTGGGGAAGCAGGTCGTGTTTGGACTGGTTTTGGTTTACCTGGGTACTCCATGCATCAAGGTAATGTTTCAAACTGGTTTTTCCATTATCTAGATGTGCTGGATGAGGTAATGCGGAGTCATTTTGCAATGTTATGTTGGGTTTATGGTTGAGCAGGAATGAGAAGGTGTGGAATGGTGTTCCGTTTGGTGGGGCGAGTGTGGTACAAAGGGCTACTGCTTTCTGGGAATCATGTCGTAGCGCAAACAATTTGGATGCTGAGGAGCCTGTGGATGCTCTTTGGGGGCAAAAGCTGTGTGCATTATGGGAAAGTATACGGTTAAGGAAGCTGAGGCCATATGTGTTCGTGAAGCACTCACTTGGTTGAAGGGAACGGGAATGGGAAATGTTGATGTAAAAACGGATTCCCAGCCAGTTTATTATGCTTTAAAGTCAGACCCTTATTTTTCTGCTTTTGGGTTAGTGATAGATGATGTAAAGGAATTAGCAGTCAGTATTCATGGTGTTGATTTCTCTTGTGTTAGGCGGTCTGCGAATCGTGCTGCCCATGCTGTTGCTCGGTCAACCATTTCTGAGTCAGGTTGCGGGGAATGGTTTGACATTCCACCTATCTTTCTTGTTGATGCTCTTTCTTCTGATTCAATGAATTAATCCTTTTATCTCAAAAAAAAAAAATTAACAAAGAATAGTATTTTCACCCGTGCGATGCACGGAATGGACTTCTTATAATATATTAAGAATATTTGGATCGATATACAATTATTTAAATTATAACATCAAATACAGTATTGTATAGTGCAATTGAAGATATGGTTTTGATCGGTTATGTTTGTTGATGTTATCATTGTTTGAATTCGAGCAAGTAATTGTTCAAATTAATAGTTAATGTGTATATGTACGCATTCAGTGCTGTAACTTTAGAGATTTTTATATATCATTGTTTATGATTTTTATAAATTGGGCAAATCTGCTCGTTCTCTAGCAACTTAGTTATAATAATCAATTGCTATCCTAATTCATTTTGGGGGAAAAAACATAATATTACCGATTGTATTTACGTACACATTATTAAAAACCTCTTTGTAGACGACATTGGTAGTCGCAACACAATCTTGTCCATTCTTGTCTAGAGCTAACACATTTACGCTATCAGGAAGGGTGACTCGAGAGAAAGCCACGTACAATTGTCCGTGATTAAAGACCGTTTTTATTTTTTGCAATAACCCAACGTGAGTTAGTGTTTGACATTGGCTTTTGTTGATAGTCATGGAATATGCAAGCATCAACGAGAATTGTTTACGCTGGAACATGAAGGGCAATCTCGTATCAAAAGGAGTGAAAGACATTCAGGGGATAAGAACTTTGGTTTATTCATGTGTCCCATTAACCTTGCTTCGACAATGTGATCTACCAATCTTGTGATGATGAGTTGCGTCTCGTTACAAAGACAAGAGAGTGGTCTATGTTCCGAAATAACTTAATAGGTGCACCGACCTTTAATGTCAATGAATGATTATGAAGACCCGACAATCTCAAACTATTTAAGAATTCAAGAGTGTGTACTTCTGATAGATTTTCACTGTCTGATTCTGCCTTACACAAAGAGTCACAACTTAAATATATTCGTCCTTCTGCAGTATTCGTGTCACACATGTACTGATTAATTTGATCAACGAAATCTAAAGTCGGTGAGAAGATCGCTCGGTCTTCTAGCTACGACTCATCAAGCATGTCATATCTCGAGCTTGGGAATGTGTTTTCCATTATAGTTGCTATGGGATTGTGTCCACACTTCAAGAAAAACTGTGCAGGAATATCGATCTCAAATGAACCGTTGTTTACAACCCTTGAAATCCCATCTTCGATGTCTTCAATCCATTTTGAAAACCAATCAACTATCTGTCTATCTTCATCTGATCTGAAGCTAAGGCCCGTAGTCTCAAGTTCTTGGTGAGCCTTAATAGTTGCAATTTGTCCACATATATGAAGAATTAATATTTGCTCTGACAACTACTGGTCTTGTTGTTTTCGGAATAACAGGTATGATCTGTTTAAAATCGCCGCCGAAAACTATTGTTTTTCCACCAAAAGTCTTTTCAGCACTACCCGGTATGGCGAACCTCAATAGATCCCTCATGATTTTGTCCAAAGCCTCAAAATAGTGTTTGTGCGTCATCAGTGCTTCATCCCATATTATCAATTTGCACCTTATTATAAGCTCAGCAAGGTCACTGCCTTGCGATATATTGCACATGGGATGGAATCTTCATTCAAGGAGAGTGGTATAGCAAATCTGGAATGCGCCGTCCTGCCTCCCGGTAAGAGCAAAGATGCTATTCCACTGGAAGCAACATTAAGAACGATATCACCGTGACTCCTTATCTTTGACGATAATGTTCTCCACACGAACGCCTTGCATGTTCTTCCGTAACCATACACGAAGAAAAATCAACATCCATTGGAATCAGTATCATTCATCATAGAACTGTAAACATTCTTTTGCTCGTCGGTCAATTGTGTTACTAATGTTTCATGCTTTGTCTTCAACGATTCCTTGTCATACGCCAACTCTTCAGCTATCAACATGGTTTCACTCAAACCTATGCTAGTTTTGTCTGGAATTGGCATTTCTGAAAAGTTCTTCAGGCTCTTCCCCCACAAAGATAGTAACTTCTCCAATTCCACCAAAACAAACTGTTTTTTATCCGAATCCAATAACATCAACTCTTTAAAGGAAAAAAGACAAAAAAAAAAATAGTTTATTTATAAATAATGAAAAGTAAATAACAAAGTCGAATAAATAGATTGGAGTAAACTAAATATAATTGATTCAATGTTGACTAGTGACGGAAAAATAGAAATA